AAACCAGGGATGGATGGTGCAGGCAGACCACCCTAATCAGAAGTCCTGCTGGGGCCTGGGCACCCCCCCTCAGCTCAGCATTGTCCAAGGGAAGGGAGGGCTGGTCTAGCACCCCCTGGCTTCTAGCCTGAGCCACTGCAGGCATGTGCCTGGATTTCCTCAGTTCAGAGAGAATGCCTGTCCAGTTACAAACCTGTTCAGGCTAGAATTGGATGGAATTTCAACTGTGCTGTTAATACATCTGTTACTAAAACTTGAATGTCTATTACGCTTTAACAGGTTGTACTAGGGGCCTGGGAAATCAGTCTTGGGACAAGGTAGGCAGGAACACAAAGTCCAGGAGGAAAGCCTAAGGAGGCAATGATAGCACTATAAGGAGGCAGTGATAGCACTTGCATATATATTATTTAGAGGTAATTATTGCATGTAATGTTTATTATTTAAAATGCACAACCCAAATATTGCATAAACTGGCTGTATGTGTACTGTATGCTCAAAGCAAGCTTTGACTAAAAGAGATGCTTTACCTTTGCAGAGCCACCATCCTGGCATCAGGTTGAAAGTTAAGCTTATATAATCTTCAGAGGACCCTGCTAAGCACTTATGTTCTGAGGCATGACACATTTAAACAAAACACTAAATCACATGCCTGCTCTGTCTCAAAGACCAAAATGTCTTTGAGACAGAGCAGGCAAGTGAATGAATTGGGGATAAGTCATTCCAAAAAGGTGCTTGCCTCATTTCTGCAATAAATTGAGAATACTGTTGTTTGCATGTTCAGCACCTAATTCTGTGTATTACCCTGTGCCTTGCTCTGAAGTGGAAGCAGTAAAGTACTGTGCTGCAACAGCATGCAATGAGCTGTTGATGCCTGATGTGCATATTACTGATGATGTGAGTGGGAGGTCTCTGAGCTGTTCTGAGATCATGCCCAATACAAATCTGCACAGCTGTGGCTTCCCTTTTCTAGGGAAGAGCATCTAACAAATAATACGATGGCAGGGGTCAGGTTCAGACAAGAATTTGCTGAAAAGCTTATGAAAATCACAAATTTAAGTGACATTGCACATCATAGCACACACATCAGAGGGACTTCTTATATTCTGTGTAACTGGGTAACTTGGACAGCATTTGAATTTCAAAGTCACAGCTTCAGGCAAAGCCAATTGCTTTTGTGCACTCAAGTGCTGCAAGAGACTATTTTTGTTCTTTTCCATTTCAATGCTTTTTCAGTCAGAACTATTATGAATCTGGGTGAATTCAGAGTTCATTTTCTGGCATCATCCCTTCATTTTTGGTAATGCCAGAGCTGTTATCAAAATGGGACAGTGATGTAGATGCCTTCCATCAGTATCCTGATACTAATGGACTAGGGATAGAAATTACGTATAAGCTGGTATAAGTGATCAGAAACCAATTCAAATCTGTAACACAACAGTGGTTCAGTGCATATAAGCCACTTTCAAAATGGCCAAAACTGGTTTAAGACAAATCTGGATGGATGTAGTATCAGAGTTAACGGATTTAGGCGAAATCAGTTTAAAGAACTTCTGTCCCAGATCCCCTCCAGATTCAAGTTAACTCACAGTCCCCCAAAATCCAGGATGTTTTGCACCTTCTCCGCAAACCCCACCTCACATGTTGGACTAGCTAGCCTTTACTGAATCACATCAGGTGACACCCCCACTTTACGAGTCAGTTAAATCATTCTTTGCTGCCAAGCGTCCACCTGATATACTATAACATTTCTTCTGCAAATATTGCAGGCTTATGAAAAAGAAGTTACAGTAACAGCACTGAGACCTGGTATTTAGTCACAGAACTAACTATGGGGAAATCACA